CTTCAGGTTGGTTTAACTTCACCTGCAATTGATTATTAAATACACACACACACACACACACACACACACACACACACACACACACACACACCCGTGCTCGGCACTCCATAATTGTATCATGTGTGAGTACTACATTTTTTAAATTAAATTTACAGATTTCATGAAGTTTGAATTAAAAGAAAACAAAGTTCAATGCCACCTAACTCTCTCTCTCTCTCTCTCTGTGTGTGTGTGTGTGTGTGTGTGTGTGTGTGTGTGTAATTAATTAACAGTTATGTGTTTCAGGAACCAAACTGAGAATCATGGTGGTACAAGAGGCAGAAAGAGGAAGTCAGAGGGTGAACAACACGGCTCTTGCTTAAAGGTATGATGAGATATAATAACTTATCTGAGTTTCCTTTACTAATATGGTTGTTTTTATACAGAAGAGATGTTACCAGTCTCAGAACAGCACAGCTTCTGATGGCTTCAGAGGCGGTTACGCACAGGCCAAACATCACCAGAGACGCAGCGATTATCCTTCTGCTGGCCGAGCTGAAGATACGAGACGTAATCACAAACCTAAACCTGATTACAACAACAAACAGAGCCATGGTGGTCAGAATTACAAACCTAACTGTAAAGTGAAGAATCAGAGAAAGAAGACAGAAAAATATGAGCAGCGCTACAGAAACAGAAGCTATGACAACAGACACGGGAGACGAGACAGAACAACGCAGGTGAACGAGCCCTAACAAAAAGTAACAAATGCTTTGTTCACATGCATTTATGCTCATTTTCCTCTTATCACGTTCAGGATCAACCAAGATTCATGAGTCAGGACTTTAAGGACCAGAATGCTTTGCTGGTGGACGGACAGCTAGTGTGTCGACATTTTCTTTACAAGCGATGCATCAAGGCAGGTTAAACCAAAACTTTGCTTCCAGGATCGTGTTTCTGTGTTCCTTACGTTGATTTATTTCCTTTGTTTGTCCGCAGGAAGACAGTTGTCAGCTGTTACATATTCAGGGTTACAACGGTCTGATCAAAGAACCCTGCAAGTTCTACATCCAGGGATGCTGCCAGAACGGAGAGAGCTGTATATTCATGCACAATATCCTTTCACTCTGCGTCAGCACTGAGGTCACCACACTGAGTCCTGTTTGCTTTTCTGTAACCGAGCTGCACAGTCGTTTCCTTGCAAGTTTTTCCACAGAAGAGGGAAATGTTTGCAAGAAGAAAACTGCAGGTTTTCTCACGATCCGCTCGACGACGTCACAGAAAAACTGCTGAACGAGGTTTGTCAGAAGCTTCGTGTTTTATTATTGTCTAATCCTGTGCACTAAGAGTGCGTGTTTTTATTTTTCCACTGTCTTAAAGCATGAAAAAAAGTATAACGTAGTAAAAGAAGTTAAAGAGGAAGAAGAGATGAAAGAAGAAGAAGAGACAGAAACAAAGAAGGACCCTGATCTCCTCACTGAGGCACTCAGGTATTGATTTTGTTTTAATCATTTCACTTTTTCAATTAAAATCATCTCTTTTTAATTTTATTAATTTTTATTTTATTCTGATGTTTGGTTATGTTTTTCTTTTTGAAGTTTCTTTTGTTTGGCTGAACAGTGCAGGAGTTAGAGATAAGACATCCTGGGCCCGTTTTTATCAAACTTCCTTGAATTTCTCCTAAGAATGCTGTTAAGAACAGACTTAAGTGTAAAAATAAAGTCTTAGCTAAAAGCTGAGCCTAAAAGTTATTTATGAAGCGTCTCAGTCTAAGTGAAGTGTGAWAGTAAATCTTGAAGTGCCTGTTACATGCATGTCCTTCAAATACACTTTGTCAAGGAAAACATCTTTATATTTAAGAAGCTTGGCACAATACACACAATTTTACACATTTTGTCACAAAACTGGCATATTTTCTTTTGAACTTGGCTCAGCCAAAATGAAAGAGGAAGTGACATCAAAGGGGAACTCTTAAAGAAAAGGAACTCTCTGGTTTTTGTTTATTGAAACTAAATTATTTGAACTTTGACTCTTCTTCATGTCTTTGATAAAAACTCAAAATAATCAGATTCTTCTCTACGGTCTGAGTTCTGCTCACATGCAGACATTCCCCTTTGACATCACTTCCTGTTACTTCACATGTGAACATCCCAACAACCGTTCATCTCAGCTGCATCAAATTTTTTTGAAATATGTTATAAATCTTTTCAAAAATGAATTAGTATTTATTACAAAAATTGACGTCACTGGCTCTTTAAGTGTCAGTCTTAGAGCTGATTTACGACACTTTGCTTCAACACTGATCCTGGATGACGTCGTTAAACCACCCGGCATGAACCAATCACTGCAGCGGATTTCATCTTCAAGAAGATTCTCTGAGAAACGTCAAGATAAAACTGAAAATCCTGAAATAACTTCACATTCGACACAATAATGTTCATACACGTCACAATGATTGATTGTCACAAATTACATAGAATTTCCTCATTTACATCATTACATTACATAAAGAAAATCTTGCAGATTATTTCAAAAGCTGTAGCTTGAATGTTTTTTTTTAACGTCTCGGAGCCTGAGGAAATGCTAAACTTGCACTTTCTTCTTCCTCTCCACTAAACTGCCTGCAATAACTCCTACACACACACACACACACACACACACACACACACACACACACACACACCCGTCATTAGCCTGGTCAGAGCCCCCCACCCCCTTAGTGTACAGCAGATTTTTTTTTATAGAAATTTACAGATTTCATGAAGTTTGAGTTAAATAAAGAAGATATGATAAAAGTTCAATCACCAGTGGGGGAAAAATAAAAAATCAGTWCTTTTGACAGCATCATGTCTGCTTTCTCCAGCTGATATCCACCTTTTAGTTGGTCTGTTCATTATAACTGAGAGGAGGACATCTGTCCTCTGTGTGGTCTCTGTCTTCAGTCCATCTCAGACTTCTAGTGTCAACTCTGGACCACCTAAGAGTCCTCTGCAGCAGTCTTAAATATCTGGGAGAGTAAGAGTGATCTTCAGATTGAAGAATGATAACTTGTTTTTACTCTGAAGTCTGAGAGGAGGAGAAAATCTAAGAAAATAGTCAACACTTAAGTGTAAAGTTCCTCTCTAAGAAGTTTGATAAATCCAGCCCAGATCTTGTGGATCAGTTTGTTTCAGTGAGGTCACTGCGTATGACTTGTGTCGAGAGCATAAACTCCCCCGTTTGTGACTCGGTTCACATCGTTCTCTTTAAAGAGCTGTTCAAAACTTTCAGACGTTTGTGAACATCGTCTTTATTTTACCACGTCTTTGTTTTTGCAATTACAATTCTCCTGTGAATGGTTGAGAAAWATTACAGGTTGAACTTGTTTTTTCTTTCCAGACCAAGTTTTTACAGCAGCATCGACCCGGAGAAGGAAACAAACCCACATCAGACAGAGGGACCTGCACCGGACTCTGCAGAACCCCACAGCTCTCCATCAGACCATCAGAACCACCAGGAGCCGGTCTGTTATTCAGTGGAAGCCATGCTTGGACCTCAGCTGTCCAGAACTTTCTCCAGTTTTTCTAAACCTCCTGGAAGTCGAGTATCTGATGAAACGGTGAGCTTTTCAAACCAAAGCGAAGCTCCGTACTCTGTGGACGCGGTCCTCAGGTCATTTAAATCAGCTTCAGCTGTGGGTTTTTATAACTCCAGAGTGGTTCCTGASACAACCGGAGGTCCTCAGAACCAGACTCCATCAGAAAAATACACAGAGAACTCCTCTCAGGAGAACATGTTCAAGAGGTTTTTATCTTCTGGAGGGAACAGGGACGCTGCTTCTGAGGGTCTGAAGGAACAAGCTGCAGAAAGGACATGTCAGGAGGACAGACTGGAGCTGTGTCCTCCTGTCTCCGAGGCAGAGAGGACAGAAGAGAACATGAATCTGCTCACAGGAACGCCATGTTTTCCTAAACTTCCCTCTGATGTCAGATTCTTATCCAAACCTTCTCCTCCTCCCTCAGCTGTCGGGGAGTTTAAAGACAGAGCTGCTGCTTCTGTTGAACCCGTCGCCACCTCTGCCGACACACGAGGCGCAGTGAACGTCGGCGTTCATCGTTTCGCAGCCCAACAGCTCGTAGACGTTCTCCACAACTTCAGGAAGAAACAACCGGTCATTAAACCTGCCTCTTCTCAAGTCGTTAAACCCGCCTCTTTTCAAGTCGTTAAACCCGCCTCTTCTCAAGTCATTAAACCC